CCTAAACCCTAAACCCTAGAGCACCTTGAAGCGGGGCAAACCGAGCCCTTACCCTAAACCCTAAACCCTAAACCCTAAACCCTAAACCCTAAACCCTAAACCCTAAACCCTAAATACAAACCCTAAACCCTAAACCCTAAACCCTAAACCCTAAACCCTAAACCCTAAACCCTAAACCCTAAACCCCTAAACCCTAAACCCTAAACCCTAAACCCTAAACCCTAAACCCTAAACCCTAAACCCTAAACCCTAAAACAAAACCCTAAACCCTAAACCCTAAACCCTAAACCCTAAACCCTAAACCCTAAACCCTAAACCCTAAACCGCAAACCCTAAACCCTAAACCCTAAACCCTAAACCCTAAACCCTAAACCCTAAACCCTAAGCTGACCACTGCCCTAAACCCTAAACCCTAAACCCTAAACCCTAAACCCTAAACCCTAAACCCTAAACCCTAAACCCTAAAACAAAACCCTAAACCCTAAACCCTAAACCCTAAACCCTAAACCCTAAACCCTAAACCCTAAACCCTAAACCGCAAACCCTAAACCCTAAACCCTAAACCCTAAACCCTAAACCCTAAACCCTAAACCCTAAGCTGACCACTGCGTTTTCTAGACTTCAAAGACGCACGTTGGGAGGCCGCCGGAACTTCTCAGAGACGCGCTTGATGGACATCAAGGAGCCAAAAACCTGCGCGCAGCGACCCGCAATGTTGAGGGTTTAGGGTTTAGGGTTTAGGGTTTAGGGTTTAGTGCTTAGGGTTTAGCAGTCAGGGTCCAGGGTCTAGGGTTTGAACTGAAGCTAAGTGCACGGCCACATCAGAGCCCACGTCGCTGTTGGCAGCTGCATTCAATACTAAACCCTGAATCCCAAACCCTAAACCCTAAACCCTAAACCCTAAACCCTAAACCCTAAACCCCATACCTTGAGGGTTTCGCCGCCTTCCTCAGTGCTCTCTCCTTCCTCCATTTTCACTGCGTGTTCTATAAGCCCGTCGCTGCGGCCTTCGAACTCCTCGTAAATCTTTTTTCCAAACAGCTAAACACAAACCCTAAACCCTAAACCCTAAACCCTAAACCCTAAATCCCAAACCCCAAACCCTAAATTCTGAGCCCTAGCGATTGATAATCAGTAGGGTTGCCCGCCGGACGGTTAGCGGGATCGGGCAAGGTGGTGGACGGGGCGAGCTGAGGGTTTAAGGTTCAGGGTTTGGGGTTTAGGGTTTAGGGTTTAGGGTTTAGGGTTTAAGAACTAGGGTTTAAGGGGCTGCAAGGAAGAATCAGCTCACCTCCACATGCTTAACTAAGCCGTCGAGTCTGCGCCGCCAACCAAACCCTTCACAGTTCCCCCAAACCCTTAACCGTAAACCCTAAACCCTAAACCCTAAACCCTAAACCCTAAACCCTACACCCTAAACCCTAATGGCCCTACCTGGAGTTGTAGAAGTGCAGCTCACGCCTCTCTCCGTACACCTGAAAGCCTCCACACCAAGTTGTACCCCTATAGATAAGGCTCAGCGTTTAGGGTTTAGGGTTTAGGGTCTAGGGTTTAGGGTTTAGGGTTTAGGGTTTAGTGTTTACCGTAACAACTTCGCGCAGGGCGTGAGGATTGCCTGGTGCATATCTTTCGACTTGGCGGCGAGCAGCTGGCCAGAAGACGCGTTCCTCCAGCCCGTCGCTGAGCCCCAAACCCTAAACCCTAAACCCTAAACCCTAAACCCTAAACCCTAAACCCTCAACCCTAAACCCTAAACCCTTATCGCTCCACCGTAGACAGACAGCAGCGCATGCACACCATAAAAGCTTTCTGCTTATGGAGGCGGCTTGCAGTTGTATACTGTGGCCCTCAGCCTCTAGGGTTTAGGGTTTAGGGTTTAGGGTTTAGGGTTTAGGGTTTGGGGTTTCCGCTTTTACTTTCTGTGTTCAAATTGAAAGAGGATTTCTTCCGGGAGGTTTCGACGCGGGTTGGAGTAGAAAGTGATGCAACGTACTAGGCCGTCCGCCTGCAGCAGCCAAACCCTAAACCCTCGCGAAACCCTAGCCTGGGGTTTAGGGTTTAGGGTTTAGGGTTTAGGGTTTTGGGTGGAAGCGGAACCCGTCAGCCACAAGAGGGCTCTGGCCTTCTTGTTGGCAGCTGCGTAGAACTGAGGGCTTACGGCCTGGGCCTGCGTACCAGCGCCGAGGGTTTAGGGTTTAGGGTTTAGGGTTTAGGGTTTAGGGTTTAGGGTTTGACCTGAGAGTAAGGCGCAAACTCCTGGAGTTTGGCGTCTTTGTAAAACACTGTTTTTTGACCTCCATAAAAAGGGTTTAATAAATCCAGAGAGGAGAGTTGAATGCGGCGGCACCAGGCGCGAGGCGCGAACAAAGCCTGCAAACCCTAAACCCTAAACCCTAAACCCTAAACTCTAAACTCTAAACCCTAAACCCTAAACCCTGTGGGCTGAGCCCTTTAGCATGAGCCCCCGCTCCTGACCCCGTGCTTTGAAGGCACGAGAGGAATGCACACGCTGCTGGCCAGAAACCCCAAACCCTAATCTTTGAAGCGTAAACCCTAAGCCCTAAACCCTAAACCCTAAACCCTAAACCCTAAACCCTAAACCCCACGTTGAGGTTCTTGTTCTTCCTGTCGGCGCCGAATTCAGCAAGTTGGTTCTCGTGCTCTTCAGTCTGCAAAGCCGCCCAACTCTAAATCATAGACTCTACATCCTAAACCCTAAATCCTAAACCCTAAACCCTAAACCCGAAACTCTAAATCCTAAACCCTAAACCCTAGTTTTGTGGACCTTGGGGGGCATGCAGAGGGCGCATTCGAAAAACCGCGAGTTAGAAAGAGAGAAATCAATTTCTTGTGCCTTCAGTTTTGGCCTCATGTTGACCTGCCACACAAACCCTAAACCCTAAACCCTAAACCCTAAACCCTAAACCCTAAACCCTAAACCCTAAAACCTAAAACCTAAACCTCGAACACTAAGCCCTATTGAGGGTTGGCGAAAACAGCGGTGCAACAGTAAAAAGAATAACTTATGCGTTAGGGTTTAGGGCTTAGGGTTTAGGGCTTAGGGTTTAGGGCTTAGGGTTTAGGGCTTAGGGTTTAGGGCTTAGGAGGGTTTAGGGTTTAGGGTTTAGCGTTTAGGGGACCCAAAAGTTTTCTTGGTTCCACAAGAAGTTCACGGCCAAAAATGGACTGTCTTTCTTCTCATAGACTTTTCCTGAAGCGTCACTTCAACCCCTAAACCCTAAACCCTAAACCCTAAACCCTAAACCCTAAACCCTAAATCCGAACCCCCAGGTTTCGAGGAGTATCTCGCCTCGCAGAAAAGTGCTGCAACAAGTTTTTAGAAGCAGCGCAGTGGCTGGCTGCAGGCTGAAGGCAGAGTGCTTAGGGTTTAGGGTTTAGGGTTTAGGGTTTAGGGTTTAGGGTTTAGGGTTTGGGACCGCTAGCGGGGTCGATGTAGAGGTCTGAAGAAACCCCTCTTTCTCCAGCGCGAACCAAAACCCAACAGTAAACCCTTTTGCCTCGATGTTTATCTTTTGCTGCTGCTGCTTCTTCTTCTTCAGAGTCCTCAGCTTTCAAAAGGGCCTGCACGCGAAAACCCGAGGGTTTAGGGTTTAGGGTTTAGGGTTTAGGGTTTAGGGATTGGCTATGAGGGTTGACTTCGTGGACAGCGGGTTTGTTAGCTCTGGAGCTTCGACACGCAAGGAGCAAACAGCTGGAAGCTGCTCATTAGGGTTTAGGGTTTAGGGTTTAGGGTTTAGGGTTTAGGGTTTAGGGTTTACGTTTTCTTTCTCCTCTCTTTCCTTCCTCCTCTCCTCAGCCAACTTCTCGAGCTCTTCATACCTCAAAGGTTTTGGCAATTCTATTTTAAATGTTGCGTCGTCTTCCTGCGCTTACAGCCCCTGAACCCTAGACCCTAAACCCTAAACCCTAAACCCTAAACCCTAAACCCTAAACCCTAAACCCTAAGCCCTAGGCCTTACGACCTTGCCAACGCAGACGCAGATGAATATCGGATGCCAGGCTACTGAGTTGCTTCAACGCCGAAGCTGTTCTAGTAAATGCATGCAGTGCAGGGTTTAGGGTTTCGGGTTTAGGGTTTAGGGTTTAGGGTTTAGGGTTTAGGGCTGAGTTTACTTGCGCAGTGTCACCAGGACCTTCGTCTTTTGCGTCGGCCTTTTGGTCGGGCGTCGAACGTTTGAAAGGACACAAGTCCTGGCTCTGCAGATCACAAAAGACATTAGGGATTAGGGTTTAGGGTTTAGGGTTTAGGGTTTAGGGTTTAGGGTTTTTGTCCGCTACTCTAGTCCGTGCCCTCTTACCGTCAGTGGTTTGTCTTTCTCCCCCGCTCTTGAGTTCCCTGTGAAGGTCTAGGGATTTCTCGTGTAGCATTCAGCATCAAGACGTTATGGTTTAGGGTTTAGGGTTTAGGGTTTAGGGTTTAGGGTTTAGGGTTTAGGGTTTAGGGTTTGCTCACTTGCGACTCAAAGAGCTTCAGCTGCTCCAGCACAATTTTTTCGTGCGCTGAATTCTCAACGTAGCGAGGGTCAGGCTCCACCGAAGCAGCATACTGCGCCCCGCAAACCCCTAAACCCTAAACCCCAAACCCTAAACCCTAAACCCTAAACCCTAAGTGCTATACGTTACACACAGCAAGTCCTGGCGAATGCAGAATAGCGTTTAAAAAGCGCCTCCTTTCTCCACAGGACTCGCGTTTATGCCCAAGGCTTTAGGGTTTAGGGGTTGGCGTTTGAGCTCTAGGGTTTAGGGTTTAGGGTTTAGGGTTTAGGGTTTAGGGTTTAGCAAGGGTGCCGCACTTCTCTGCAGCGCTGCAGCTTGGGGTGTATGTTTGGCTCTGCCGTATCCGCCTCTTCAAGCCCAATTATAGAGTCCCTTTTTATATCCATTTTCGCTGTGAAGTTCTGGGGTTTAGGGTTTAGGGTTTAGGGTTTAGGGTTTAGGGTTGAGAGCTACGGGTTGAGGGTTTAGGTGTAGGGTTTAGGGTTTAGGGTTTAGGGTTTAGAGGCTAGAGCAGGAGCGACTGATGGGAGTTGGTGGAAACTCGAAACAAAATGGAACAAATTAGAAAGAAAACTTCAAATAATTGAAATAAAAGGAAATGAATTTGAAAGAAATAACTCAATTAAAGGAATTCTGCAAAATAAAAGTTTTGAATTTCTTTCGATCTGCAGAAGCCAGGTGTCTGTACACCCGACGGCCGCCACTCCGCTCCACCAAACGCCGTCTTCGCATTTAATCATTTAAATAAAAGTTTTAATTTTAATTTTAATTTTAATTTTAATTTTAATTTCAAATTAATTTACTTTTCGCTCTTTAATTCAACTCTTCATTCCCCAGACTTCCGCGCCGGGGGCCCCGGGGCCCCCGGTCCAGCCCTGCCGACAGATGCATGCAGCAGCAGCAGCAGCAGCAGCAGCAGCAGCAGCAGCAGCAGCAAAGCGGGCTTGAATAGGGGGTTTTGACCATTCGTTTTATTTTATTTTTATTTCTTTTTTCAATTTAATTATTATAATTCCCTTTTGCTGCAGGCAGCAGCCTTGCTGCTGCCCCACAGACTGCAGGCTGCTTCTTGGGGCTTTAGCCCCGAAGAAAACTCCATTAATTAACTCTTTTCTCCATTTGCTTTTTGCTGCTGCTGCTGTCTTTCATTTTGCTGCTGCAGCGCAGCAGCGCAGCAGCGCAGCAGCAGATCCCCGCTGCAATGCCCCCCCCCGACTCTGCTGCCGAGCAGCAGCAGGGCCCCCCTGCTGCTGCTGACTCCCCTGCTGCTGCTGCTGCTGCTGCTTCCGCCGAAGCGCCTGCAGCAGCATCGGAAGAAGCAGCCCCCGAACCCGCAGCAGCAGCAGCAGCAGCAGCAGCAGCAGCAGCAGCAGCAGCAGCAGAAGTGCGGAAGCGGGGCGTGGTGTACCTGGCGCAGGTGCCGTTTGGGTGGAGCCGCGGGCAGCTGCTGCGGTACTTTGAAAAGTTCGGCGAAGTGACGCGGCTGTTTGTGACCCGCAGCAGCAGCAGCAGCAGCAGCAGCAGCAGCAGCAGCAGCAGCAGCAGCAGCAGGAGGAAGCAGCAGCTGCGGGAGGCGTGGATTGAGTTCCGGAAGAAGCAGCAGGCGAAGCAGCTGGTGGCGCTGAAGAACGGAGAAGCTGTGGGGGGCAAAAAGCGCAGCAGCAGCGCGCAGCAGCTGCTGCTGCTGTCTTACCTGCGGGGCTTTTGCTTCAGTTCTCTCTTCGAAGAAGTTATGAACTTAAAAAGAAATAAAGTGGAAAGAATAAATGCGCAGATTGCCCGCGTCAAGCGCGAGGCTGAGGTGTACGTACACCTGCTCCACCAGAAACACTCCGCGGAACAGCTGCAGCAGCGAATTGCACGCAAACACGGCGCCCCGCTGCAGCAGCAGCAGCAGCAGCAGCAGCAGCAGCAGCAGCAGCAGCAGCAGAGGCCGCGGAAGCGGAAGCAGCTCGAGAGCAGCAAAGGGGAAAAGTGGAAAGAAGAAGAAAATGAAAATAAAAAAAGTTTCCAAGTCAGCAAAGATCTCCTCAAACTCTTCGCAGCTTGAAGAGGCCCAGGGCCTCCACTTCTTTCTTCTTTTCTTCTTTTTTAAAACTTTTATTTCTTTTTTCTTTTAAACTTTTATTTCTTTTCTTTTAAACTTTTATTTCTTTTTTCTTCAAAACTTTTATTTCATTTTTGCTTCCACTTCTCGCGCTTTCCGGGCCTTCGGGTGTACAGACAGCTGCCCGCTGCGGCGAAATGCAGAATCTGAATTTGAACAAAACTTCAAATTTCGAACTTCAACAAAAACAGTTTTAATTCTTTTAATTTTAATTTTAATTTCAATAAAAAAGCAATTTAATTCATTTGATGCACTTCTTTGCATGCAGTTCGCGCACAGCTTCCTTACCTGCACTCGCAGAATCTGTTGGAGTCTGAAGTGAGAAAGCAGCAGAACCTGCAGCTTCTGAAAAGCCAGTTGAACTTTAATTTTAAATAATTAATTTTAAACAATTAATTGTTTTGATTTTAAACAATTAATTGTTTTGATTTTAAACAATTAATTGTTTTGATTTTCTGCGCAAAGGGGGCTTCAGCGCCTCTGGAAGTTCGAAGTTTCCGGCGAGGACTTGAAGTTCAAGTTCCGCCTCAGTCCAAAGAAAGAAAAAGCACTGAAAACGCAAAAGGACTTTAATTTCCTTTTCAAAACGCCACTTAATCGCGGAAATAAATTAAAAAATAATAAATAAAAGTCGCGAGTGGAATCGGCTGCAGAGGGCGCCGCCGAGTTGCGCGTACACCTGAAATCGCGCGAGCTGCGCATACACCTGAAACGGGAAAGCGCGCGGCGCCGCAGTTTCTATTTTTTGACCTCAAAAGATCTTTTGTTCATTTTTTTGTTCAATTTTAGAAATGAATGTTCACTTAATTCAAATTTTATTTTATTTCTTTCTCTCGAGAGCTTCGAGCGCCGCTGGAATGCGCGCGACCGCCTTTCCGGGCCCCCCCCGCGTCGCCGTGGCTTTGCAGGTCAGCTGCTGCTGCTCCAACTTGAATTCTTTTTAAAATAAATTCTTTTAAATTTAATTCTTTTTGAATTTAATTCTTTTTATGTTTTATTCTTTTTATATTTTATTCTTTTTAATTTAATTCCCTTTCAAGAATGGCCCTTTAAAAAACGCAGTTCCGGCGAGTTGGCGGCGGCCAGTTGGCCCGGGGAGTCTCGCCGTTCCCTTCGGTGGGTCTTTTGGCTTTTTGAATTTTTGAATTCTTTTTAATTTAATTATTTCTTCTAATTTAATTATTTCTTTTCAATTTAATTATTTCTTTTTAATTTAATTATTTCTTTTTAATTTAATTATTTCTTTTTAATTTAATTATTTCCCTTTATTTAAGTACTTATCTTCATTTAATTTGTTTGTCTTTTTTAATTTAATTCCCTTTCTTTTAATTCAACTATTTGTTTTTGCAGAACTCTTGCCAGCCCCACAAGTCCCTTTTAAACCCTCAAATTCTTTTCTCCGGGGCTTTCCAATTCCTTACATTTTCCCAGCAGCAGCTGGAGCAGCAGCAGCTCAAGTTTGGCCCGCGGAGGGCCCCGCTGCAGGTCAGGGTTTAGGGTTTAGGGTTTAGGGTTTAGGGTTTAGGGTTTAGGGTTTGGAGTTGAACCCCGCGCTGCTGCAGCTCCCCAAAGACGAGAACAAGTGCCCTGCTTCCCCACGGGTGAGGCGGCGAGTCTTTGCGCAGCAAATTAAATTCCCTCTCACTCGCTGCTGCTGCTGCTGCTGCTGCTGCTGCTGCTGCTGCTGCTGCTGCTGCTGCTGCTGCTGCTGTGCAGAAGCAGCAGAAGGAACTCTCGCGGGACTGCAGCAAAAGAACATCGAAAGCAAAAATATAAAATATTCCGATTCTCCTCCCTACGGGTGAGTGTACATACACCTCAAAATAATGCATTATATTTATATTTATATTTATATTTATATTTATATTTATATTTATATTTATATTTATATTTATATTTATATTTGTATTATTTTAACTTTGTTTGCCATTCTGCTGCAGGTTTGTGCCCACGGGAAAAGCCTCGATGTCGAAGCTGCTGCACCTCGCAAGTCCTGCTGCTGCTGCTGCTGCTGCTGCTGCTGCTGCTGCAGCTTCAGGTGTACAGACACCTCAGCAGCCAGCAGCAAAACGCAAAACCCTCCGGCAGATCTTGGGGGGTTTTATGGAAGTTCCATTTCACGGAGTTGTCAGCGGAAAAATGCGATGAAGGAATTAAAAGATTTAAATTGCAAAACCAAAACAAATAAATACTTTTCTTTTCCACTTTGTTCCAAATTGCTGCTGCTGCTGCTGCTGCTGCTGCTGCTGCTGCTGCTGCTGCAGGGGGCCCCCGTGTCCGCAGCAGCTGCAGCGAAGCAAGACCCTTCTTGCATGCAGAAAAGCTTCGCAGTTTGCGAAAAGTTTTATTTAAATTATTTTTATTTTCCAAAATTATTTATTTCAAAAAATAAACTCCAAATTCCCCAAAAAGAAGAAGACAGCCGCAGCCCCCGCTGCAGCAGCAGCAGCAGCGGCTGCTGCGCTGCTGCTGCTGCTGCTGCTGCTGCTGCTGCACTTTCGCCGTTTATTTTTCCAAAAATTAACTTCAAAAATTAAGTTTTGTCTTTTTAAACTCATTTCCACTTTTAAAAAAAACTTCTTCCCGCTGCTGCTGCTGCTGCTGCTGCGCTGCGCGGGGGCAGCAGGGGGCCCCACGGGCTTCCGAGTCTTCCGCCAAAAAGGAAGCAGCAGCAGCTGCAGCACCTGCTGCAGCAGCAGCAGCAGCAGCAGCAGCAAGAGTAGCTGTTGCTGCTGCGGCTGCAGCAGCGCCAGTGGCTGTTGCTGCTGCGGCTGCAGCAGCGCCAGGAGCTGTTGCTGCTGCGGCTGCAGCAGCAGCACCAGCAGCTGCTGCTGTGGCAGCTGCAGCAGCACCAGTCGCTCCTGCTGTGGCAGCAGCAGCAGCACCCGTAGCTGCTGCTGCTGCAGCCGCAGCAGCACCAGTCGCTCCCGCTGCGGCGGCAGCAGCACCATTGTCTGCTGCTGCAGCAGCAAGCAGCAGCAAGCAGCAGCAAGCAGCAGCAGCATGCAGATGCAGCAGCAGCAAGAAAGCCCTTGCTGCGCCGCTTCTTCCCTGAGCCGCTTCTGCGTCTCGCAGCTAACAAGTGAAGCTTCTAAGCAGCAGCAGCAGCAGTATTATCAGCAGCAGCAGCAGCAGCAGCAGAAGCAGCAGCAGCAGCACTGCTATCTGCGGCAGCAGCCGCAGCATCTGGAAAGAGAGTCCATCTGCAGCACTTATCGCGCCAGGAGTTGCGCAGAAAGCAGCAGCTGCAGCAGCAACAACAGCAGAAGCAGCAGCAGCAGCAGCAGCAGCAGCAGCAGCAGCAGGCGCGGCCACAGCCGCAGAAGCAGCAGCAGCAGCCTAGTTGCTTCTTGCTCAGGAGCAGCAGCACAACTCAAACCCCACAGGGGGCCCCCTCAAGGTCAAGGGGGGGCCCCCCTAAACCCTCGGGGGCCCCCCTTAGCTGCTGCGGGGCCCCATGGGGGCCCCCCAATGGCTGCAGCAGCGCAGCAAAGGTTTCTTGCTGCAGCAGCAAAACTGTCTTTCCCAATGAAGGGGAGCTGCAGGAGCTGCTGCTGCAGCAGCAGAGGCAGCAGCAGCAGCAGCAGCAGCAGCGGGGGCACCAGCGGAAGCAAGAACAACAGCTGCAGCAGCAGCAGCTGCTGCTGCAGCAGCAGCTGCAGCAGCAGTCACCGCAGCAGCAGCAGCAGCACAAGACGCAGACAGAAGAAAACCCTGAGCCCTTAAATAGAACCTTTAAGGCCCTCTGGAAAGTCTTGAGGAAGCAAGAGTCGGCTACCGCACAGGCTGTGAGGGTTTAGGGTTTAGGGTTTAGGGTTTAGGGTTTAGGGTTTAGGGTTTATTGGGTCGCTGCTGATTACTCTGCTGCTTCTGTGTGGGGGTCGTGGCTTTAGGGTCCAATGAGTTCAAATGGTTTGCCGGCGCAGCCTTCAGGGTTTAGGCTTTAGGGTTTAGGGTTTAGGGTTTAGGGTTTAGGGTTTAGGGTTTAGGGTTTGCGGAGGCGCAGCTGGCCGCGGTGGAGGCGGAGGAAGCAGCAACTGCTGCAGCAATTAGTTTTTTAAAAGAAGAAATAAAAAAAGAAAAAAATAAAATTGAAGAAAATGAAAAAGAAAAAAAAAGACTGCAGCGCAGCATTGATGACGCCACCCAGGCCCTCCTTGTAAACCCTAAACCCTAAACCCTAAACCCTAAACCCTGATTTCCAGCACAGCATCCCCAGAGAAACACCAGACCCTTTTCTTCTTTCTTTCGCCGTCGCGTGCTGCAGTGAAGAGCTCATCGTGAGGGCCTAAGTTCTAGGGTTTAGGGTTTAGGGTTTAGGGTTTAGGGTTTAGGGTTTGGCCTTTTCAGGAACTCGAGGAAGACATCAGAGCCGCCATACAAAGCCTCATGTCCCCAGAGTGAGTTCCAACACTGAGGGCCCCCCAGGGGCCCCCAGGGGCCCCCTAGGGGCCCCCAGGGGCCCCCCAGAGGCCCCCAGGGGCCCCCCAGGGGCCCCCAGGGGCCCCCAGGGGCCCTCAAGGGGCCCCCAGGGGCCCCCGGGGGGCCCCGGGGGGGACCCTAGGGTCCCTCAGGGGCCCCCGGGGGCCCCCAGGGGCCCCTCAGGGGCCCTCGGGGGCCCTCAGGGGCCCTCCGGGGGCCCCCAGGGGCCCCCCGGGGGCCCCAGGAGGGCCCCCGGGGGCCTTCGGGGGCCCCCCAGGGGCCCCCCAGGGGCCCTCGGGGGCCCCCCAGGGGCCCCTTAGGGTCTTCTAGCAGAACTCTGGGGGCCCCCAAAGGAGGTTGAGGAGCTTACCTGCAAGGGTGTCGGGTTTAGGGTTTAGGGATTAGGGTTTAGGGTTTAGGGTTTAGGGTTTAGGCCCTGTGGCGTATCGTGTGCAACTTTGCAGGGACGGAGAATCCCATTCCTCTTCTGTCTCAAGTAAGGGTCCCACTGCACGCCCCTC